CAGCAGGGCGACAGAGTGAGACTCCAACTCAAAAAAAAAGAAAAAAAAAGAATGCATTTTCTAGTCTAAACCTCCTTTTTAACAAATAAAGCCCAAGACAGTTGATTTATGCAGATACTTGGATGATTATTATAGTTGAAACTACTGCGTTTATTATCTTTGGACTAATTACTTGGTTCTTTTGCCTTACTCATGTAAATTTTGAAAGTGCTCAAAAAACTTGTTTGTATGACACAGTTTATGTTTATAAACAGATTTACTAACTAGCAGACTGTTTTGAGGGTTAGGAAGTGAATTTAATAGTGGCTTGGATGAAAGATACTAAAGGAAGTGTTTATGCTATTTTCTGTTACCTTGGTGTGTGGCAATAACATGAAGCTGGTCGAAGCTTATTCTAGGTTGATCAGGAAAAGGTTGGTATGTAAGAATGCTTTGACTCCCTTCTGGAAGGTAGCATGTAAGTGACCCTGGTAAGCAACAACTAGGTCTTGTTCATTACCTTTTTCTTTACAAGTCTAAGAACCGCTAGATTTCTATAATTCATAATGACCAAAAGTTAGCGGTGCACAGAACGTGTATGAGTGTTTTAAGTTTTATAGGAAATTAAAGTGACTTCTTGTTCATGTTGTTACCTGTTAATAACCTGGTTCTTTTTAAAAACAATTATGTTAATTTTATATTTTTGGTATTTTAAGGGAATGTAATGAACTGTTTTTGTTTTAGGTTTTTATTCACAATCCTCATACACGGAGCCAGCATTTCAGTGCATCGAGGGTCTTCCAGAGCCCCCTGGAGTCTGATGTTTCTCTTCTCAACATTAACCAGACAGTCAGCTGTCTGACCGCAGGAGTATTGAACCCTGAACTTGGTTATGATGCTCTTTTAGTCGGGACACAGACTAATCTTTTGGCTTATGATGTCTGTAGTAATTCAGATTTGTTCTATAGAGAGGCAAGTATAATCCTTTATAACTATAAAATTATCCTTACCTATTAATGCCCATTTTTTATGCCTTTTAATACCTTTATTTGTTTATTGTTATGTAACTGCTGTAGTCTAGTTAGACAACATGGAAATTCTGCCATTTACTTCTGGTTCATGTTCTTGGAACTTGTTACTTGGTCATAGTTGGTAACCACTTGGTGACACTCCAGCTTGTCTCTGTGAGGTACGTCTGGGATCTCACATCTGTCAAGATCTCCTACATATACACAACGGAATATCAGGCACCCATAAAGAAGAACAAAATCATGGCCCTAGCAGCAACTTGGATGCAGTTGGAGATCATCATATTAAGTGAACTGTCACAGAAAAAAAGAGCTGAATACTGCATGTTCTCACTCATAAGTGGTCACTGGACACTAGTCACATAAGCACAAGGGTGAGATTGGCAGTCACTGGGCACTACTAGGGGAGAGAGGGAGAGAGGAGGGAGGAGGGCACGTGACAACACAATGGGTACCTAGTCCACTCCTAGGGGGAGTGAGGGCCAGCTAGAAATTCAAACTTCACCTGCAGACTTCATTTACTACTTGTGTAGCAAATCCTCACTTGTACCCCACAACTCTAAAATAAATACATAAAAAAGAAAAAAATAGAAAGAAAAAGACCCTGTACCCATTCCACCTTCTAACCCTTGGCAAATCCTACTTCACTTTCTGTCTCTATGAATTTGCCAATATTGGATGTTTTATATAAATAGAATCATACAACAACAACAAAGATCTACTGAGATTTCAGCCAAGAGCTGGGAAGTCAGGAAACAGGCCTCCTGGTGGCCTTGCAGTAAAGTTTAGTACAATAGTTTGTAGGAGAAGCCCTTACTGTAGCCTGCCATCTACAGGCTACTGCAACTTAATACCCAAGTAATTAATATTTGTTGTAGAAAAGATAAGGAAACCAAAAGAAAAAAAAATTACCTATGATTTTTTTTATCTAGAAATAACACTTGCTGGGTGCAGTGGCTCACGCTTGTAATTTTAGCACTTTGGGAGGCAGTGGAGAGAGGATTGCCTAAGGTTTGAGACCAGCCCGGGCAACTTGGCAACACCTCATCTCTACAGTAAATCAAAAAATTAGCCAGACGTGGTGGTGTGTGCCTGTGGTTCCAGCTACTTGAAAGACTGAGGAGGCGGGATCACTTGAGCCTAGCAGGTTGAGGCTGCAGTGGCCATGAATGTGCCACTGCACTCCAGCTTGGGTGACAGAGCGAGACTCCTTCTCAAAAACAAATAAAAAAAAACCACTTAACTCTTGAATTTATTTATTTGTTTATGAGTTGGGGTCTTACTCTCACTCAAGCTGGAGTGCAGTGGCACAATCCTGGCTTACTGAAGCCTCAACTTCCTCAGTTCTGGTGATCCTCCTACCTCAACCTCCCATCTCAACCTCTTGAGTAGTTGGGACTACAGGCGCATGCTATCAAGTCTGGCTAATTTTTTGAATTTTTTGTAGTGTCTTACTATGTTGCCTAGGCTTGTCTCAAACTCCTGGGCTCAAGCAATCCTACTGTGGCCTCCCAAGCTTTGGGACTACAGGTATGAGCCACTGTTCCTGGCCTAACTCTGAAGTTATTTATCCAGATTTATATATTCAGATATCCAAGATATATTCAGATATACTTGGAAGGAAGCCAAGTATATCTGAATAATTTCTTTTTAACAAAATGAGACCAAACTATATATATCTAGCCTTTTACTTGTTTTTACCCTATGACAGTTTTATTAAGATACGATTCACATACCATTCAACTAACTAACTTAAAGCATGTAATTCAACCAGGCATGGTGGTTCATGCCTGTAATCCTAACACTTCAGGAAGCCAAGGTGGGAGGATTGCTTGAGGCCAGGAGTTCAAGAACCAGCCTTTTTTTTGTTTGTTTTGGTTTTTTTTGAGTCGGAGTCTCACTGTTTTGCCTAGGCTGGAGTGTAGTGGCACACTCATGGCCACCACAGCCTCAACCTGCTGGGTTCAGGCAATCCTTCTGCCTCATCCTTCCAAGTAGCTGGAACTACAGGCGCATACTACCACACCCCACTAATCTTTTGATTTATTGTAGAGAAGAGGTTTCACCAAGTTGTCCAGGCTGGTCTCGAACCCCTGGACTCAGGCAATCCTCTCACGCTGGCCTCCCAAAGTGCTGGGATTACAGGCTTGAGCCACCACACCCATCCAAGACCTTGTCTTTACAAAAAAAAAAAAAATTAACTGAGAATGGTGACACACCTGTTGTCCCAGCCACTAGGGTAGCTGAGGTAGGAGTATCCTTGAGCCCAGGTGTTCAAGCCTGCAGTGAGCTATGGTCATGACATTGTACTGCTGCCTGATTATGACTATCATCATAATCAATTTTAAACACTTTTTTTTTGAGTTGGAGTCTCACTCTGTCACCCAGACTGGAGTCCAGTGGCCGCTCCCGGCCACTGCAGCCTCGACCTGCTGGGCTCCGGCGATCCTTCCGCCTTAGCCTTCCAAGTAGCCGGAATTACAGGCATGCGCTACCACGCCCGGCTGATTTTTTGATTTATTGTAGAGTTGAGGTCTCGCTGCCCAGGCGGGTCTTGAACCCGCGGGCTCAGGCAATCCACTCACCTCAGCCTCCCAAAGGCGCGGGATTACAGGCTGAGCCACCGAGCCCGGCATTTTTAAACACTTTCATTACCCCAAGAATAAATCCCATCCCCATTTATAGTCACTCCCTGTTTTTCTTTAACCACCTAAACTTAGGCAACCAGTATCTCCTTTCCATCTATAGAGGTTTGCATATTCTAGACATTTCATAAATATGGAATTATATAATATGTGATCTTTTGTGACTGTCTCTCAGCATATTTTCAAGTTAATCTATGCTATAGCATGTGTCAGCAATTCATTCCTTTTTATAGCTGAATAATATTCCATTGTGTATATGTACACACTACATTTTATTTAGCCATTTATGAATGGATAGCCATTACCCAGTTAGTAGACATTCCACTTCCTGGCTGTTTGTTACATGTGGCCTTTTTATTCAGTAATATATTCTGAACAACTTTATATGAAGTTACTATTTATCTGTATATCATTCTTACTGATTTTATAATATTTCGTTGTGCTAATGTATCATAATTTGTTTAGCCAGTTCCATATTGTTGAACGTTTATGTTCCTTCTCTTGTTTTTCTGTTACAGTTGCTACTGTAATAAGCATATATCTTTGACCACTTTTCTGATTATTTCTTAAGAATTAGTTCCTAGAAATAAAAATTCTATTTTGTATTTTTTTATTGAGGCACAGTGCATACACACTACAATGCACAAACCTTAAATTTCCTTAAAAACCTTAAAATTCAATGAGTTTTGATTCCTATAACAGACACTCAGTAAAAATATTGAACTTTTTTCATCACTTCAGAAAATATTGTTGTGCACTACTCTAGTCAGTTTCTATTTATCATAGACAATCACTGTTCTGATTTCTATCAGCTTTGATTAGCTTTTCCTATTTTTGAACTCCGTACAGTTGCAGTCATACCAAATGTACTATTTGGCGTCAGTTTTCTTTTGGTCATCATAATGTCTGTAGAGAATTGTCTATGTTGTTGCATATAGCAGAAACTTTTTGTTGTTATTGCTGAGTAACATATATTCCCCTGCGTGAATATACCACATTTTGTTTATCCATTCTCTAGGCGATGGACAAGTGAGAGGGACATTTGAATTGTTTCAGTTTTTGGCAATTATGGATGAAATTTCTGTAAACTTTTTTGTGTAAGATTCTTTTGTGGATATATGTTTTAATTTTTCTTAAGTAAATACTGAGGAGTGGAATTGCTGGACTGTATGGTTTATAAGAATTTTATAACAAACTGCCATACTTTTTTCCCAGAGTGGTTGCATCACTTTACACTAGACTACATTACACTACTGCACATAAGAGAGTTGCAGTTACTCCACATTTTTTGTCAACATTTGGGGTTGCCGGTCTTTTTAATTTTAGCTGTTTTAGATGATGTGAAGTGGTATCTTACTGTGGTTTTATTTTGCATTTCTCTGATTAATAATGTAGGACACCTTTTCTTGTGCTTAGTGCCCATTTATATGTCTTTTGTGAAGTGTCTAAGTCTTTTGCCTATTTTTTTTATTGGTAATTTGTCTCTTTATTGTTGTTTTGCAGGCATCTTTTGGGTATATTGGATGCAAGTTCTTTGTTAGATTTATGTATAGTAAATATTTTCTCCCAACTCATTCTGGTAGGTAGGTGTGTTCTGATGAGCAAAGGTTTTCAATTTTTATGAATTCAAGGTGATCCGATTTTTCTTTAGTGGTTACTGCTTTTTCTGTCCTTCTAAGAAATCTTTGTCTATTTGAAGGTCACAAAGAAATTCCTTCTATATTTTTGGTCAGGACTGAAATTGAGTTTAGGACTTTAGTATTCAGGGCTCTCCAGAGAAATAGAGCCAACAGGATGTGAATATATTAGGGGAAAAGAATTTAGTTTCAGGAATTGGCTCATATGCTTGTGGAAACTGGTAAGTCTAAAATATGCATGGTGGGCTAGCATGCTGGAGACCTAGGAAAGAGCTGGTGTTGAAGCCCAAATATGAAGGCTGTGTGCTGGTAGAATCCCGTCTTCCTTGGAGATGTCAGTCTTTTCCTATTAAGGCCTTCAACTGATTGGATGAGGCCCACACATATTATGGATAGTAATCTGCTTTACTCAAAATCTACTGATTTAAATGTTAATTTTACCTTAAAAATACTATCACAGCAACTCTGGAATAATGTTTGACTGAACATCTGGGTACTATGGGTTACCCAAATTGATACTTAAAATTAACATCACAAGGACTCAGCTTTACAGTGCTAAGTTGGAAACTTTTTAAAAATGAGAATTTTTTGATAGATATTGGTAAATTGCTCCCAGAAAGACTGTCATTTCTCACCTCCCCCACAAGAATGAGAGTGCCAGTTTTCATCTACTTTTTTGCCGAGTTGGGGTCTCACTCCGTCACCCAGACTTACTGCAGTGTTGACCCTTGAGCTTAGGCAATCCTTCCGCCTCAGCCTCCCAAGTACAGGCATGCACTGCCACACATGGCTGATTTTTTTTTTATTTTTTGTAGAGATGAGGTTTTACTGTGTTGCCTGGGCTGGTCTGGAACTCCTGTACTCAAGCAATCCTCTTGCCTTGACCTTCCAAAGTGCTGGGATTATAGGCATGAGCCACTACACCCAGTCCTAGAGTGCTAGTTTTATCACACCTTAATCAATAGTGGATTATTGCTCTTTTCTAATCTGAAAAGTGAAAACTGATATATTGTGAGAATGAACACTTTTCATGTTTGTTTTTTTCTCTAGTAAATTTTCTGTTTATTTTTTTGCTTAAGGTGTTTACCCTTTTCTTATTGACTTTTATTGACAAAAATATTAACTCTTTATCTTATATACTGGAACCTTTCTTTCCTTCCAAATTCATTGTTTGCCTTTTAACTTTATTTTTTGATTGACTGATCATCTAACAATTTTAATTTCTTATGAAGTCTTTTCTTTCCTATATAGCTAATCTTTATAGTTTTCCTACTGAAAGATGATGTAAGGATTATTTTCCCATACAATTAAAAGTGTTTACAAAGATGTCCCTGAATCTTCCAAAAATAAATTAAATTATGCTTATGTAATTTATTCAGGAAATCTGAGACATTTGTTAATTCTGGATGGCGGGACTATGGGTGTTTATTTTATTATTCTTTGTACTTTTTAGAAAATTTAAAATTAAAAAGAGTAGTAGTACTAGAACTGGATAATAAGTATTAAAAAGATTTCTATCCAAAATGTTTAAAATAAATTGCAAAGTTTGGCTTTTTAAAGGCATAAGTCTTGAGTCTCTGGAGAATTTGTTCTCTAGAACCTGTGGTCCCTGAGAGTCCTGGATTATCATAGCAACTCATTGTAGCAGCTTAGTGTGAGAGCCAAAGTTCTGAGTTTTTGGGATCTGTGCTTATTCTTCCAGATTCCACAGTGACAGGTCTCAGTGAACAGCCCTGACTGCCCTCTCAGGAGAGACCATGTGGCTTCTCACAAATGAAGACAGAGGAATTTGAGTGTCCAAATAAAAATATGGATATACATTACCTTCAGTGTGCCTGCACATCATTATATCTAAGATAATATGTCCTTTTTTTCTTCTTAGGTAGCAGAAGGGGCAAATGCAATTGTGCTGGGGACATTGGGAGACATTTCCTCTCCTCTTGCAATTATTGGTGGAAATTGTGCTCTGCAGGGATTTGATCATGAAGGAAATGATCTCTTTTGGACGGTATGAAGAACAAAATCTTTTTGATACTCTTAAGCATTTGTACTTTTAGTGTTCTTTTTTTTTTTTTTTTTTGAGTTGGAGTCTCACTCTGTCACCCAGACTGGAGTGCAGTGGTTGTTCCCGGCCACCGCAGCCTCGACTTCCTGGGCTCCGGTGATCCTTCCGCCTCAGCCTTCCAAGTAGCTGGAACTACAGGCGCGCTCTACCACGCCCGGCTAATTTTTTGATTTCTTGTAGAGATGAGGTCTCGCCAAGTTGCCCAGGTGGGTCTCGAACCCGCGGCCTCAGGCAATTCACTCACCTCAGCCTCCCAAAGTGCGGGATTACAGCCTGAGCCCGGCTAGTGTTCTTTTTTTTAACCACCAACCGTACTGAATAAAAAAGAACAATATTTGTAGTTCTATATGTTAAAAAGTATATGAGTAATATGAATAATGTCCATTGTCAGTTTGTATAATCTTCTCTTCATATAGCTAATATATTTCGAGTAAGTGGAAAAAAGATGACATATTAATGATTTGGAATTTTATTTCAGGTTACCGGAGACAATGTTTATTCCTTGGCCTTGTGTGACTTTGACGGTGATGGGAAAAAAGAGGTATGTGTGGGAAGAGATACCTCTCATGTGCTGAGTAGATTTTCCCTTGACAGTAACGTTAGTGTTGAGAGAAGTGTGAGCTTCTGGTGGCTGATTTTGGTGCTCAGTTGCCTAAATGATGAGCTAACTGGCCTCATTTGTCTTTCTCCTCTCTTTAGAACAATAAATCATTTGTGCTTGTCTAATACAAGGATCTAGGCCATGGTGTTTGAAAGACACAGGAGAAGGCAGAACAGCTGTGGGGACCTCAGTCATATTCACAGTCATAAATTGCTTCTGATTCCCTGAAACCATATTAGTAAAAAATTTCCATTTTGGCCAACTTTTTCAGGAATCTAAAAGTTTTAGAGATTGGCTCTTAGTCTTTGAAATTATTCTAATGGTTACCCTAGAAATTAGATTCTTTTTTTTTTTTAAGTTGGAGTCTCAATCTGTCACCCAGGCTGGAGGACGGCAGTGGCACGCTCCTGGCCACCGCAGCCCCAACCTGCTAGGCTCCTGCGATCCTTCTGCCTCAGCCTTCCATGTAGCCAGAACTACAGGCGCACGCTACCACACCCAGCTAATTTTTTGATTTATTGTAGAGACAAGGTCTCACCAAGTTGCCTGGGCTGGTCTTGAACCAATAGGCTCAGGCAATCCTCTCGCCTCAGCCTCCCAAAGTGCTGGGATTACAGGCTGAGCCACCGAGCCTGGATGAAATTAGCTTCTTGAGCAGTCAGTAGGTGTGAAGTGCTGTGTTGAGCGCTAACTTACTCCTCTCTTGTCCATGGGGCCTAGTCTCTGGTGTTGGAAACAGAACTTCCATCTGCAGACAGAGAAAGTTGTGAAGCAGGGAGCATTTTCAGGTGCTTAGTGAAAGAGCATGTTCTAGCAAGATGAGCAGCCCACCTGGCAGGATAAAAGCTGTAGTAGCCACTTTTTTTTCACTGACTGAATCTGTCAGTCCTCCCATTAGAAAGAACTTTCTTGAGCTTTGGATAGGTAGAGGATTGGCAGTCTTGAGTGGCAGTAGCAGCATGCAAAGTATTCTGCAATTTTTTGTTTTATTTATGGAAATTTTTCTGTTTTTGCTTACTAAACTGTGTATGATTTTTCTCCCTTCAGCTTCTTGTTGGATCTGAGGATTTTGACATTCGTGTTTTTAAAGAAGATGAGATTGTAGCAGAAATGACAGAAACAGAGGTAAGAAGTGCCACCTCAGAATTATGGAAACCTTAGGCAAAATAGATCAACACAGTCAAATGTAACATCAACTGAGAGTGCTGGGACATCTTCTTATAACCCAGATGATTTAAGGATAAAAGCTGTGGGGATGATTTAAGGATAAAAGCTGTGGGGGTCAAACTGAGCCATATGTTACAGCGAAAGAAGCATTTAAAATCCTGTATTTAGGTATATTTTGAGGTCAGGTGCAGTGGCTCACGGCTGTAATCCCAACACTTTGGGAGGCTGAGGCAGGAGAATAGCTTGAGCCCAGGAGTTTGAGACTGGCCAGGGCAACATGGCAACATCCTGTTTTTACCAAAAATACTAAAATTTTCCAAGTATGGTGGTGCATGCCTGTAGTTCCAGCTACTTGAGAGGCTAGGGTGGAAGGATC